GATCTGTGATGATTACAGACGTTTACTGCTAAGAAAATCATTAAACAGCTGTCAAAGACAGCCTCCCGGGCTAATCTTAAAAATCCTACACACGACTTCTGACTATATTATTTTATTTTCCTTTAAGTTTCTAAGTCTTCTTCCACTTCAGGTAGATTATCCTTCACTTGAGTTCTTTTTTTTCGCCGTCGCAAGATTTCATATGGATTGAATATTTCTTTTAAATGTGAAGTAAAGCAACCTTTACTTCTCCGAAAATCGTCTTCTTTATCTTAGTTTCTATCTCCTACATTTACAGTGGCCGCTCAACACATCAAATACAAGCTCCTAGGTAAACTCACATAAGTAGAAAAAAATCCTCGCGCCGCCATCTTTGTTTTAAATGTTCGTCTTTTAATCTCGTGCTTCTTTCGCACGTTTCTCCCGCGCGTGACACAAGAGTTAGCTGTACCCCGCGCGAGGAAACTAGTACGAGCCACCTTAATCTCGCGCTTCTTTCGCACGTTTCTCTCGCACGTGACGCGAGAGTTATCTGTTCCCCACGCGAGGAAACTAGCACGTTAAGGTGGCTCATACTAATTTCCTCGCGCGGCGAATTTTTAAATGCGCGAGAACGCGCGTGGAAATTGCTAAACTCACGAAAGCTATTGCATGAAAACAAGTCCGGTGACCCCTTCTTTTTATGTTCCAATATGATAATAACGTCGAAAGGAATCATCAGAAAAAAAAAAACAGAAAATTCTACGGAAAGAAATTTTCGATGTGTGAAAATTGCCTTTTTTCTAGATTTTCTGAAATTCCGCTCCGTAGAATTTTTTAAAAATCTTTGTGCATTTTCCTTTTCAAGTGCCAAAAGCAATCACTTAAAAAAATCACGGGGTCACCTGGTTAGTTTTCGAATTATTGAAGCCACAAGCTAAAAAATGCGTCTAAATAAGCCTGTGAAAGCGCTGCCATGGAAACTGCTAGTGACGAATTGAGACCTATTTATGGATAACCAATGATTATATAATTCAACCCCGTAAAAGTGTTCAACTGACCTTGGTCAGTCTTTCTGTTGTATTTTTTCAAAGTTACTAACTATCAAAAAGATGAAAACCGGTACGAGCCACCAGCGCCGTTTGTCCGAATTTCAGAGCGCTTTGGAGCATACATCGAATCCCAATAATCTGAATTTCAGAGCGCTTTGGAGCACACATCGAATCCCAATAATCTGTATTTTTAAATAAAACTTGTGTGTATAGAAGGTACTTCACGCAATACGAGAAGTAATGCCAGCTTGAGTCTAAAAGTGTGAGTAAAATTGTTAATCACTTTCTGCAAAGCAGCATTCCACGATTTCAACTGCGCGCCAAGAACCAAGTCACGTGATATGTTGTCTGCCGTTCGCGCAATTTCGCGGTAGCCGCGAAAAGATCTCAACCACCCATATTCACTACATATGTACGTGTCATTAATCGGGTTTTCTATTTTTTTTTTTTTTTCTATTTTATTTAGCTTCGCCAACCGGCAGGGACACCGCAATAGCTTGCGCCGATTACTGCGGGCCCAATAAACCCACCCATCCCACCCCAGGGGAGGACGTCCATCACACAGTAATCTCGTGTGTGGGAAATTAGCGTCTCCTACCCCAACCCTGCCGGAGACGGGACCTACATTTATTCGCCCCTATCCAAGAAGACTAGAATATCTAACCATTTCTTGATGTTATAGAAAGGCAGCAAATTCTTCTCAATTATTTTAAGACCCTGAGTGTTGGTCCGGCCGGGGCTCGAACCCTCGACCTCCCGCACAACAGTTCAGCGCTCTATCCATTGAGCTAACCGGGAGGCTTTCCTTATTAAATGTTAACTCTTGATGATTGATTTAATTTCATCTTTATGAATTATTCGAGACTGACTACCAGACATTTATGGAAGAGTTCGTACTTGTTTCCACAAGGAAATCAATAAGGTGTTAGAAACCTGAACTGCAAGCAATAACCAGTGATTATTCAGTACAAAGTTCACCTGTCAGAACCAAATCAAAGTGTTCATGTTTTTCTCTGTTTCACTCTTGGATGAATGAAGGTCGTAATTGAGAGTCTGGGAACCAGTGCATCATTTCATTTTATAGCCAAGGTCCTCACATCATGTTCCTTCCTCGATGCATGCTTCCGATGTCCCAGAGCGGTTTTAATACGCACGGTTTTGGCTCATAACCATACGGTGGGCCTCCCATGGCCCGCCAATCAAAGTGCGTGCTTAATGGACAAAGGTTGCTGATTGGTTGAATGGATGGGACCCAATAGGTCGAATGGTTTTCTTTTGAAGAGGTTTCCCAGTAGATCAACATTTCGTGCAAATAAGATCCGTGTAGACTGATGTACTTCAAACACATTTTACTTAATGACTTGAATTCGGGAACTTTCGCTGATACGTCGTGAAATATACGTGGATCGTGAAAGAAGATAACATCTTGAACATCGTTTATCCATATCGCGATTGTTTGATCACCGAACGGATGGCAAAGCAACTTATCTCTTTTGCTTGTAAATTCCAATACCAAGTCCCCTGATAAAAGGAGGAAGCCTTCGTCTATTCGCACAAGTCCTTCAACTTCACAGTGAACATAACCCCAATACAGTCTAAAATGTGAAAAAAAAAAAAAAAAAAAACCTGATTGGTTGCAACCTTCACTTTCGTTGTGAAAGAAGGGGGTAAGTTTCTAAAGAAACTGGTGCTGCTGCGTCAGTGGGGGTAACAAGGTAATTTGGTTCGTCAGAACGACTGAAGAAGGGCTAACGCTCGAAACGTTAGCTTTTTAACTCTTTACAGCGGCCAATTTGCAATTTCAACTTAGTTGATAAAACCAAATTATTTCGTTGTGAAAGGATTGTTATATTAAAAAACGGAAATTAGAAATAACAGCAAAAACTTGCAAGAGCTGAGCATAGGAAAAAAGAACCGCGCGTTTACAAGACTCGATATAATTTCAGGGTCCTTTAGGGTGATTTTTTTAAGCCCGTAATTTTTGTCTGCGGTGGGAAATACCCGAAATCTCTTTTTGGAGCTTTACTAGACGAGAAGTTTAAGGATCTTTTGGAAGACGCACGCCTTATACTCAGCTGGTGTCTAAGCCAATCAGGCAATGCTACATTTTTGCAGGCCAATCAGTGACTCTCCCAGAGTTCTTCAAAGCGCAGGTGACCGATGCAGTCAGTATGGGAGACTTTCCGGCTCCCCCACTCAAAGGCCGCGCACATTTTGAAGACAACTAGGCGGGCTAGTAAGTGCCAACCACGGAGGTGGTTTCCTCTGGCGACAAAGTCAAAGTTGGAGTTTAGTTAGTCGGAGTCGTAAAAGTGCATGCGGCCTAGGGAGAGAGGCTAGGAGCTGACTCTGTTCATTTTCTCTTTGCCTGGTGTCTTGAACCAGAGAAGAGCTAAACATTTGTTGAGTTTCCCTTCTGATTTTATCAGTGTTACTTTTTCTAAATATCTCTTCAGATACCCGGTCTGCGATCAAAAGCTCAAGAGATTAACGCCAAGGGTAAACACAACCAAGGAATTGGCTGGTACCTGTTTCTGTTCGATGTGAAATTTTGGAAATCTTATATTCTCCACTTCATTTACTCCGTCTACAGAATAATTCATTTATTTAAAGACAGTTTCATTACACCTTCAACCCAAATTATTACCTAAAATTGAAGATTTCAGTGACGGTCTGTTCGAAAAATACAGTTGTTGAAACTATGAGAATTTACATATCTTTCTTGCCAAGGAATTCAGAATTTTTATACTAGTAGATAAACTTAAATGAAATTATTCAATCGAGACGTTTACGGTTCATTTACAACACGACCACGCTTGTTGTAAAATCCTGAAATCTTTGGTTTTGTTACGCTTTGTCAATAGCCTGAGAAAATGATAACTGTATCTAACTCAGACAAACCAGTGGCTGTGAATAAATAAACATTGCACGGGACCTTAGTTACACCATATATCTTTTTATTGCATAGTAAGTCAGTTTATAAGTTAGGTATAAGTATGTTCTTACCTCTTCTGGGGCCGGAAGGGGATTTCGAACAGCAGTCGTTTTAAGCAGACAAAATAATCATCGTCCATTCGCAAGAAGAAGTCAAACTCGTATCTTTCCACAGACCATTCCATCAACCATAACAGCCGAAGTCCGAAATTATATCCTTTAGGAACAGGCATAAATTCCAGATCGCCGTATTTAGCGCTTTCGTTTACTAGGACACTTCGCACATTTGGTTCCATATCGGATAAGCTATCGGTAAAGAAACGACATACGACTTCTTCCGATGAACACTGGTTCATCCAAGTTCGTCGTATCCCTTCCCGACGATCAAATCGTATCGGAGCGCTCAGAATGGCAACGATGAGTTTTAATCTTGTCTTTTTGTCTTTCCTCTTTATAAAATAAGTTTGATTCTCTTTCCTAAAAATTTTTCCCTCCTCCATTCTTGCAAATTTATCCGTTTTGTTCTCGTCAAGACTTCCGCGTAGGAATAGTATCCGTTCTTGCGTGGGAATGTGAACTAACGATGAAATCTTGTCGTATGCTGCTCGCACCATTTTGGATGAAGCACTGATTCTATTCGTTTCCCTTTGACCAACTTCTGTTGCTACTCCTTTAGTCGTAAAGTCCGAATTTTTGAAGCAAATCCTGACAAGATAAAAAACACTTGCAAAAAGAAATATCGGAAGGCATGATACAAGGGAAATAAAAAAGTTTCTTCGCCAACGCATGATTGTGGAGAAGCACACGTGCCCGCTCGTTTTAAAATGAAATGTCAATCATTTTAAAAACTGTTTCTTAACTCTCCGATCATTACTATAACCGAGATTTATATCCAACAGCGCCTTTCAAGGTGTCCTATTTAGTAAACATATCAAAAAGCTAAATGTTTGGGATGACTTAAACAGGGATTTCATTCATCACAGACACGGCTTAGTCCACACGAGCGGGTGCCTTAACCTGTCATGAATCCAAATTGAATCTTTACCTGTTCAGGGGTTTTTCTTCAGGGGTTTCTCTCAAAGAAAAAACCAATTAAGAAAATTGCAGTTGTACTTAAATAATAATAACAAGTGTCACTGTACGTCTGTTTCGTATGACTTGGTCTGGGAAAATTCCGAGTCAGTGCAGTATCCAGTATTTAAAAGAATGGGCAATCAGTTGAATGGAAAAAAAATTCTTGTTATTTATGGGAAAGCTCTTCAAGCGTAGTTACCACAACTCAAACGTAACCTGTTATACGCTTGGTAGCGTGACTGTTTTGGGGATGGGCTTTAAGTCCCAAAATAAAACTGAGCAAATGATCAACTATGACGATACTGAGGTTTTTTTGCCCAAAAGTTGACTCCTGTGGGAAACGCAACAACAATGGAAGAAATAGCTCGGTAGAGACAAATCCCTTGGCAGCGGGAACGGAAACTCGTCAAGATTTCCTGCTACACGGAAATCTGCTTCAAGAGAACCTGTACAGACGTCGAGAAGACAGCGTTTCGTTCCACAGTAACTGTATTCTTGGTCATCATTGTGAGCGACATGAACAGTAGCGTACTAAAAAAACGGTAATCGTAGAATGTCATCGAATGTAATCAAAAAAGCTTTACGATGTAGTTGCTTAAGTATGAACGGGCGCGAGGTCCTATTATTACGCAAAATACAATATTTGAATAGGGTCAGAAAAGAGCGGAAAATATCTCTTTGAATTTAAGCGATTCCTACTTAAACAAACCAGCTGCCTCTAAAACGGAAAGAATTTCAAACCTAAGATAGCGGATACAGTAGACTCTGGGCCATTAAAAAAAAACACAAATTTAAGTTGCAAAATTCACAGCTCTGTATAGTATTAAAAATACCTATCTTAATTGAGGTAGAACAGCTTAGGAATTAAAGTGAGAAGTAATTTAGAGATATTGGTGTTGAATTCGGAAAACAGCAACGTGTAAAATTATCATATGAAAGGAAAGCGAACTTACGAGCACAAACTTAGCTGCCAAATACCATGAGCACCAAAGAAAGATCCTTAACACTTATATTTACCAACAATTTCAAAAGTTATATTCAACAAAAGTACCGACATACGAGTGTCTGACAATTTACTGCCTTTCTTAGTACTAGTAACGCAGAGGCGCAAAAGAAACATCCTGTGCTTTAAATATTCTGTGCTAACTGATCGAAAGTTGGTTACATGACCACTCGAGAACCACCATTCGAATATTTTTTCCGAGTTCTTTAATCCTTACACTAAACAACGTAGTTGATTCTTAGGGCCGGTTATTTACACGAGGTCTAACCCAAACCACGGTTTTACGGAATCAGTGGGGCCCAGGCCTCTCTGTAAGAGCGTTAATTTAGTGAGATGAAAGTCCTTCCAGTGTTAGCTTTCGGCCCTCTTGATGCTGTTCACAAATATAAATGATCCGATAAAAGGTTCATTTAAATTTAGGACTGTTTAGGACGGGGTTTTGTTAAACAAAGGCTAAACTTTGTTTAAATAATCAGGCCTTAGTCTTTATCCTTCAATCGGGACGCGATCAGAAGCATAAATGCCCATATATCTTTATTTGCGATTTCCGCTTTAGATTGATAACGCGGGAGCACACCATATTTAGGATCTACCGGGCAAGTAATTCATGGCAGTCTCCATATAGACTCCCTGTTACCCAGTCTCCATATAGACTCCCTGTTACCCATTCTCCCTGTGTACCCTGTGTACCCTGTGTACCCTGTGTACCCTGTGTACCCGTGTGTACCCTGTGTACCCTGTGTACCCTGTGTACCCAAAAACGGTTGGGCCACGCATACATTTCCCTCCTTTAGGAGTTTAT